AAGAGAGAGCGAGAGAGACAAAAGAAAACGCTGAATCAAAGGGGCATCTTTTTGTCCCACATTATCTGGCTTGCTTGCAATTCTTGGTAACTCGGCACTCGCCAGTCTTTTATCAGCAATGCCACGTCACTTTCCCAATGCGCATGTCGTTCGCGACCTGGAAGTGCCGTGAACGAAGCGATAATGCAAGGAAAGGCGCGCAAAGTGGGTTATTTATTTCAGTGGGACAAAAAGATGCTCTCTCTGCTCAATTTTCGTTTTCTTTTTTGAGGGAATAACCTGATTGCGAACTAGCCTAGGAAACGACGCGATTACTGGTTGTACGTAACATGTGATTTGACAGAACGCGACTTTTACACATTTTACAATACCCGCGGACTAACGGCGCGCGTGCAATGTGTCTTCCCCGAAAGGTCACGCTGTGAGGTAGCAAGAAAAGTGGGCAATGGTGTGGCGGCGCCGCTATTCTTAACCCAGAACGAACTAAAGAACTTATCTCGCGAATGACGAGGTATAATGCATGCGTGAACTACGAACACCGCGCAGGAATTATCTCGTGCGAGAGTTAGTTGACATAACGTGGCCGAGCAGCAGCCAGTGGTAGTAATGGCACTATACTCCATAAGCGTGAGCGGGTTTCCTTGTAAGGGGCGAGGTGAAGGTTTGTCGCAGTGCCTCCATGCCATTATGTCAATGGTATGGGGTAGGTCTACGTGTCATAATTTGGCAAGCACTCTCAAATTATGACAGGTAGATTGCCACTATCCCTCAAGAGGAAAGTATATAACAGCTGTATCTTGCCGGTACTTAGCTGCGGAGCAGAAACCTGGAGAATTACAAAGAGGGTTCAGCTTAAATTGAGGACGACGCAGCGAGCAATGGAAAGAAAAATGGTAGGTGTAGCCTTAAGAGACAAGAAGAAAGCAGAGTGGATTAGGGAACAAACGGGGGTTAAGGATATCATTAGTTGAAATCAAGAAGAGGAAATGGACATGGGCCGGGCACGTAGCGCGTAGACAGGATAACCGCTGGTCATTAAGGGCAACTAACTGGATTCCCAAAGAAGGCAAGCGGGTTAGGGGGAGACAGAAGGTTATAAGTTGGCAGATGCTATTAAGAAGTTTGCGGATATAAATTGGCAGCAGCAAGTACAGGACCGGGTTAACTGGCGGAACATGGGAGAGGTCTTCGCCCTGCAGTGGACGTAGTCAGGCTGATGATGATGATGATGATGATGATGATGATGATGATGATGATGATGATAATGGTGGTGGTGGTGGTGGTGGTGGTGGTGGTGGTGGTGGTGGTGGTGGTGATGATGATGATGATGATGATGATGATGATGATGATGATGGGGTAGGTAGACTTTGCCCCCCCCCTCTTAGGTGACCGGGAGAGTTCTCCCCTCCCCCCTCCCCCCATTCACCGTGCGCACGCTTTGCATAGCCCTGCGGTTCTCACTTTCATGCGAAGTTCTGCAGAAGGGGAGAGGGTATACGGTAGTGCTTCTATTGGCTAATATTCATTAACACACATATAAATACACCTTACATCTCTCCCTTCTCTCACTGAGAGATACGTACGCATCCCTATCCTCTCTCCCCCGCCCCCAACTCCTCTGAAGGGACCCACGCACGGATTGAACTAAATAATTGCTGAAAAGGCTTTATGCATGGCTTTTAGCTTTTATGCGCAATGGTTAGTTGTAAAAAAAAAATCACGTAAATGTGCTAGTACATCTATACAGTCACTCTAAGCGGCCGGTTACCTGAAATTCGCTTTCGTTGCGAGGCGTAACCTCACCTGCGTCACGCTGCGTTGAAGCCCAGAGCTTTGAAAGGCCGTGAACCGGTCGAGAATGAAGAGCAACGTTGGGTGCCTGACGACCTTCTTTTGGTTCTATCTCTTTCTCGTTTGCGGCACCAGTAGTTACCATGACTCGTATAGCTTGAGGTCACGTCCCTCCGCATGTCTTCGTTCACGAGTCCAAGGCCCCACAACAAGTCAATATGTCGCGAAACACTCAGATGTCACGCACATTCTCAATATGCCCCACTCCGTTCCTCAAGTATCCGGCTTTTCCCGCCAAGGTGACCCGCCGCCAGCCCTGTTCGCTATTTCGGGCCCTCAACGTACGGACAACAGCAGGACGGTCCCACCGTCTCGGTGTCTGCTGTGGCTATAGGCGCCGGTTATCTTCGCCGGTTATCAGTGAATTCCGAGTCACAGACAGAGAACCGCAGTGTCACGGTCAACGGCGAGCCGATCAACCCGCGAATTCGCAGCCGGCCAGCGCGACATAACTGCGTCGAAGTTCCTCCTGCTGAAAGCAGTCACACGCATGCATGCTTCGACTTTTTCGCCGTTTTCCTTGCCTAAGCGTCTTGGACTGGTGAAAGAGTAGAATAAATTTGTGTGACGCATTTGTACTGTACCGCGAATAAATATGCGACTTGATGTGTGGCTTCCACAGGCAACGGCCAAATGTATTCTGGAAATTGCGGTCCACAGATTCTGATCATCGTGGTGTAAAGAAGGGGCCTTCCTAGATAGCCACCGCAGATATATCAACCGCGATACCATGGCACGTCCAGGCCAGGAATTTGTTTATATAAAAGGGAGGTAGGGGTGGAGGCACTTGCTGAGGGCTTTGAAGAGCACTAAACTACCCCCTCCTGACTACGGGCCTGGGCGTTGAGCATTATTCTAACAGCCTAACAAAAATAGCGCATACGTACAAATGCGTATATGTACTACAGCGCAGCCATTTTTGTATACGATGTCTTTGCAGATGCAAGGGCCCTTTAGTTATACTAGAGATGAATTGCCATCCCAGACGGATATTAGTTACAAAAACGTTTCAGCAACAGCGTCCAAGTCACTAACCAAGCCAGTTACATGAAACAGTTATGCACATGCATGGGCGTGCGCACGAGGAGGGCAGGGGGGGGGAGGCGCCGCCCCCCCCCCCTAGCCCCCTAGTCACACAAAAAATGGAGGCGCAAAGTCTGTCCCATACATTGACTTATTATTAGTGAGGATGGACGCTGTATCGAACCTTCACCCCCCCCCTCTCCCCGGTAACCTTGCACATGCCTATGTGCACATGATTGTCGGCAGAACTTTGTCTTATGGGGTGCTGCAAACCCGTGGTGTATCACAGATGGGGGAGAACACCGGTGTAGCTTGGGTGTATGCAAGTGCCGGTGTAAATGAGGGCAACTTATCCTTCTCCCCCTCCTCCCTCCCGCTTTCCACGATGTGTTTGTGTTTACACTCATGTTGAAGTTCATCACCGTAAGAAAACCTGAGGTGTTCGAAGAGTTAAATCTCGGGATCGAATTAAAATATATGTGAAAAAACAAACTCTGAGTAGCGTACAAAATGAGCTGTATGCACTGACGTACGCATACGCATTATACGATGCTCGGCTGCTGACCCGAAGGTCGCAAGTTCGATCCCTGCTGCGATCCGGCTGCGGCGGTCGCATTTTCTTCGGAGGCGAAAGGCTGAAGTTCTGTTTTCTGTACGATATGTCAGAGTACGCTAGTAGTTGGAATTTCCGGAGACCTCCACTGCGGCGTGCCTCCTAATGATATCGTGGTTTTGGGACGTAGAATTACAGGTTATTATTATTAATATTATTATTATTATTATTATTATTATTATTATTATTATTATTATTATTATTATTATTATTATTATTATTATTGTTATTATTATTATTATTATTATTATTATTATTATTATTATTATTATTATTATTATTATTATTATTATTATTATTATTATTATTATATTATTATTATTATTATTATTATTATTATTATTATTATTATTATTATTATGTCGGCACTGAATTGCATTGCTTATATCTGTATGATATCCTCGTTGTTTAGTTTTATAGTTGTCATGATGAAAAATCGGCTCCATGTGAAAGCATTCACGCATGTTTCTTTCTATTGTAAGCAAGCAGCTCGTCTTTAATCTTTCCACTTGAGCCCACCTTTATATCTTTTGACCAAATTATGTCGACCCAATAAGGTCCAGAGTTCGTCAGTCTATAATCTGCTTACGAGCACGCAGCTGACAGCATATAGCTTTCAGAATTATGGACAGTGAACGAGAATGTAAGGTCCTGGTAAAAAAAAAAACGGACGGCATTGTTCTCTTATTTCGAAGAACCATCCCGGATTCATTGCTCCTGTGTAACGCGAATGACTCTTCGGTGCCTTAGAATAACTCTTAGACGGCCTATAGTTGGTGCATCATGACAATATTATTGCGCGCAAGGAGAGACACAGCCCAGACGAAGCGTTCCTGTAGTGCGTAACCCCCTTTTGGGTTGTTGTCGCTGCTCTAGTCAAGCATGCTGGCTTATTGGCGTCGTTTAAGGGCAGTGTAATGTTGCTTTACCGAAACCACGTGTGCCTTCCAGCCAGGGGCGTAGCCAAAAAAAATTTTTTTTTCAGTAGCGAGGGGTTCTCTTATACTTTCTGTACGATCGTGCTTGCGTTTCTATGTGTGCGCGCATATATACACAATAAAAATTTAAGAATTTCAAGGGGTAAAGTTGAACCCCGTCTTCGGCACCCTTTGTCTACGCCCCTGATCCGAACCAATGTACCGTGATTGGGTGAAACACCTGTGATATACCCTTGCGATCTTAGAAATCTACCATTACTGTCGTGCCATGACGGTTAGAGATGGCCAGGGAAATCTGGCCACCTCCATTTAACAGCAATACTTTGTGGCTCATCGCAGGAGGTTCATCTCGGGCATTGCTGGCGATCATACGTGCAATTCAAACTTCGCGCGTAATTGTGCACTGCAGGACTAGTTTTTAAATCTTGGCATACAAATATCAAAGCACACAAAATATTAATACACTGTAAAACTTTGAAATGGTTTGTCTTACTAATTGGTATATTTAGTTTTTCACATACTTTTTAAATTCAAACAATCAAGCAAGTGCGAACTAGTCATTGTTTACCGTCACCTCCAAAAATGGCGTCTGCTGGTTGCAAAAAACTCAAGTATAGTATTCACAAATGCTCAAGTTACACGGGATCTTACTTACCAGAGTGAGTGCGCCTTTCCCAGTACTCTGGTAACCTTCGGCAGCGTCGTAAAGGCAATGACGCTTAATTCGCAGAGTTGACATTTGTGTAGCCGTTCATTCAAACTCGGCTGGCGTCGCTCATTCACTGCAGGACCGAAGCCACCGTTTACAAGCAAGCACCGCCATCCACATTTTATCTCACGTTTGCTTGTAACTAACGTGCGTTCTCCACTAACTTGTCTCTAGAGCACGTCAGCAGTGTTACCGTGACAACCAGTGCGTCGCTCAGCTGCGCGCTTGCCTTTGGTTTCAGCCGTCTAACCTTCGCTTCGTGTTTCCTTTGGCACTTCTTTAGAAACATACTCGTGGACAAACCAAGTGACCAGTATTCAAGATGGTCTTCCGATTCCAATTACCCACCACAGGTTAGTGAAATGATTACTCCAAGCCGCGCGCTTTTTCAGTCTCAAGCGCAAGATGTGACCCTGAGACGCTCACGTACTTTCGTTCTTGAGCGTGCGCTGTCGCAATAGACAGACCTGAACGTGACTCAGTATTCATGTGTCCCACAGTTGAACACGTTGCGCGTGCAACCACACATTTGATTTGATTTATAAGGATTCTGATGGTTCTTACGATGTGTCAGATCAACACGATTGTTGTTTCGAGGTCAACCACGAAATGCATGTTGTGCACTATAGAACCGCCGCGTAACCTAACTTGATTTGTAAAGTTCTCACATATCGTAAAATAAAATGTTTCTTTCGTTACAGTAAGTACCGTTTGCGTACACGGATGCATACATTGTTTAGAAAACAAGAGTATTAAGTTTTATCCAGAATGGTATGACATGGTTAATTTAAAGCCTTAATCACGCATTGAAGACAACACTGAATATTTGAAGTTTGAACGAACTTACAAAAAGAGGCTGTTAAATTTAGTCTTTGTACTTTGTTCCTCGCGACTGTGTGTTCGGGCCAGATGCAAATATAATGAACGAAGTTCCATGGTAACTTGGATAGTGGTTCATCCTTGTAATGATTACATGCCAGTACTAAGAGGTCAATCATCAATGCACCCACTGTTATACAAGGCGCTGTGTATGGTGGCCCTTTAACAGTGCTTTTCAAGAGAACTGTGCAAATACCCACCAGCAAACTTATGTGCTAGCTCTTTGAAGCTGTTGGACTTCTTCTAAATTGTCGTTTCGAGATGTGTAGTAGTATGGGATCATATTGCAATATCTATTGGAGTTCCGGGTGCCATTCTTGCTAAGTAACATGCTCTCGTTTTATGTCTGAACAATTGTTTCTCACAGTTTCTGATCCTGAAACTGGAGCGGCCTGCAATAGTTCAGACCATAACATTCGGCAAGTACGAGAAGACCCACGTGTGCAACATGAAGAAGTTCAAAGTCTACGGCGGCCTGACTGATGACCACATGCTCGAGCTCCTTGACAGGTTTGAATACCTTGCATTACGTTTTGCACTCATATATATGTTTTCAAGAATTCATTGAGACACACTGCAGCCCTGTTTAGGGCTGTAGCAGGATTGTGACGTTATACAATGCTCGACAACATACAGCAACAAAAATGCAAGATACTATAAATGGTGAAGTAAATATGTACGCACATAAGTCTCTTATAGATCGGATGCGCACGTGTGTCGTATGAAGCATTTCTACCTCTCTCTCTTTTTCTCACCCATCAGTGGACTCAAGAATGATCACCTGACGGAAACATTCACTCTGAAGCACTCCATAAATGGCAACCAGTTCCCTTCACGCTACATCAAAATCGGTAATGAGAATATTTTTCTCTCCCTGGCTTTTTTTATTTCCAAAGTCACCCAGAGTTAGATTAGGACATGCCTGATAATACTGAACTGTTGTATACTTGTAAAGATGTCAAACGATTCAGCACTGGGATCCTGCATTGAAATGAGCTTAACATAACTAGGCTTTATCAGGTTATATTTGGGGTAACTGACTGGATACCAAGTGAAGGCAAACATGTTAAAGGGAGGGAGAATTAGGAGAGAGAAACTTGCAAGTATTATGTGGCAGCAGAAAGCACAGGACTGGGTTTATTGGCAGAACATTGGAAAAGCCATCCCTGCAGTGCGTGTAGTTATGTTGATGATGAAATTACATGATCTAATTTGCTTGCACTGTATAAGTGGAAACGCACTGAAGGCCATTGATGCCAAGTCTCTTGTGTTATGTTTTTACTGCCAGTTAACTTCCACCAAGCCTTTTGATGGATAATCTCGACTCACGTAAGCTTCCCCTGCTCGTTGGATTTCTGAAGTTTCACGTAACGAAAAACTGATTTTTTCAAAAGGTGGCAAACTGGTTTAGCTGACAAAAAGGTCTGTTTAGATTTTAATTTTATGTTATTCAAATGGTATGTTGATGAAGTGATCTCAAGGTTTTTGTGCCCTGTTTGACACGTCTCACTTTATGGCAGACTTATACCTTATCACAAGGATACATAATTCATGTTTACAAGTTACTGCTCCGTATTGGATGTGTCTTGGGCTCAGCTCTCACCAGCTCTCCCTGACAATTCGTACTTGCTGGCATATCGTATGCTGGCCATGCTTTGGTTTTTCTTCATTTTCTACAAGGTCAATCTTGACCTGGTTAGCAGATCACAGTAGGTCACAGAACAGGGCAGGTGTAATTTTTATTGGACACAGAATGTTACGATGTCAGAACTAAGGATAGATAACCACGAGAGGGCTTGTTAGAAGGCTGTGTTTGAGCTTAGAATAAACTTCGCTTTGTGGTATGCAATGTAAAAAAGAAACTCGCTAGCACTTGAATATTAGGATATGAACATCACTTTTTAGTAATGCTGAAGGCAGCTGTTCATTATAAAAAGCATTCTGTTCACATCTATCTAACACTGTGAAGTTCATATGTGGCTCAGTCACAAAAATTACTCGTTATTTGATGTGTTATGCTGTAAGATCTTGATCTTGTGCTGCTTGCATAAAATTAATGTAGCCGTAAGTGAAGTACTGCTGTCTTCTTTTGGTCTCCTTTATTGTGTTTGTACTACTGGGTCAAGTTTTTCAACATGTAAAGTTAGTTCCTCTTGCAACAGTTTGTGGTGAATTGCCGTACGTTCAAGTGAAAAACAGCCTTTATTTTCGCTCGTGTTCTAACAGCTCATAAAAAGCGAATCACGTTAAATTATTGCAGTGCCCATCCAGTCTTGGGGCCCCAGTTTCAACTTCAGCATATGGCATGTCGAGCTGCAAGGAAACGAGGACAGAGACCTGGTGCTGTCCTCGTTACGGTGGTTCAGCACGGTGAGCTTCACATTTGCTTTCTCGATTTATTCTTACACCACACTAGAAAGGACCTGGCAGTAAAAGATAAAAGTGTTCCAATCACGTGAGAGTCTTGATTTAAGCAAACGTACCCAATCGGACACAGAAGCGTTATTCAGGAAAAAGAAATAACAGAAACTGATAGTGAACTTTTAGAGTGCTATAAACTTGAGTAATTTTATGGCAACTATGTTATTGATTCGAATAAGACAAAATGGTCTCAGCTGGATAGGCCAAAATATACAAACCTTCTTGCATTTTATGCCCCACCAACATGTGTCCGCCATTCAACTCGGCACCGAGCATGTAACGTTACAACCTGCCGCAGTGGTCTTCTGGTTATGGTGCTCGGCTTCTGATCCGCAAATCACAGGATCGAATTCTTGCTGCAGCAGCTTGGTTTTCAGTGAAGGTGAAAACGATTGAGGCCCGTGTGATTATAACTGTGTGGACATTAACAAACGCCAGGTGCTCTAAATTTTCAGAGCCTTCCAGTATGCTGTTTCTCATAGTCACATCGTGGTTTTGGCACTTTAAACCCTATCAGTTATTATTATTGTTGTTGTTGTCACGTTACGACCGGCAGATGCAGGGATAGGCTTAGTTTGTATGTATTCATTAGTAGCTTTCTAGTTCGAACAAAATGACACAAGAATAGATATAGTTCAAGGTGCCTTTGTTCTTTTCTCTTCCTCGCATCCTCCTGTCTGCACTGGAAAAATTGTTGTAGAATGCGCTGCCTTCTGTATTCCTATGAAATATGAATAACCATTGTCATAAAGTTAAGCTCGTTCTCACTGCATTATGTATATCAGTTAATGCAAGCACATGCAACTTTGTGAGGCTTGCAGCTCATGTTGACTGCGTACGCTGTTTTCAGTACCGGGAGAAAGAGGCCATCCGCCTGTGCCTCAAGCACTTCAGGCAGAAGAACTACTCGGAGGCCTTCGAGTCCCTTCAGAAGAGGACCAAGGTGCAGCTGGAGGACGCTCTACTGACAAAGTTGCACAATCTCTTGGTATGTTTGATGTGAACATTGGAAATATTTTTTGCTTTGCTATTAGCATAATACAGAGAAATTTATCAGCTATTGCTGAGGATGTATCTTGATTTTGTTGGTGATGGTTAACTTAGGTGGCATCCCTAGCATATGGGGTAGTAAGGTACAGCAAGGAAAAGGTAGTTGTCGCACAGGTCCCGTTAATTAGGGAGGCAATCGCCAGGCTAATTCCAAGGGCTGAGGTATCGGCCCCCCCGAACCGCACCACGAAAGCGTGGACAATTTAGAAGTGGTCCTATTTGGCACGCCAGCGAACACCGGCTGTGGCCCAAAGAACAAATCAGAGCCGAGAGTTGATAAACAAACGAAATTACATTCTCAATAATTGCAGATCAAAACAACACACAAGTATACACTCTCCACGATAGTTGAGTACAATATATCACCAAACAAACAACGTACTACACAGTACAATCAGCCACACTCGAAACAACGGACACAGACAACAATACGCACTACAATGCAGTCGCATGCATTGAACAACCAAGACACTTAAAGACTTAAGAGACAGGAAACCTATTCAGTCCAAAGTTCTTGGAACAAAAGTCTGGATGATACTCTTCCGAGAATCACTCACTCAAAGTCCAGCGTTGTTGTCGTTCCGCTGCCCTCGAAGTTTCTCTTCCAGGAAACCTCGCCGAAGTTTCTCTTCCACGAAACCTCACGTCTTCAATAGACCACTCTCCAAGCTTCAAACTTCTTCGCCGGAAACACGTCGGCTTCACACATGCAGTTGTTGCCACGCGTCTTCGCTCGATAGCGGTAAACACACACTCTTGCCTGTAGCTCGGGTCGTCACTCCTCAGGTGGAAATCATCTTCTTCTCCTGCTTTGTCTCCACGGAAAAAACCTTCGCCGACTACACGGCGGGATACCCTACGCGCTCTGGCGCTAACTTCCGTCTTCTCCTGATCTCTCACCTCGGCTGCTCCATTAAATACCTTCCGCGCGAGATTCCAGAAAGTTCTCGTCATTTCGTCGGCGCGATACACAGCGAAGGCTGGGGAGGGGCCGAGACGGTTCGAATGCCGTCCGCCACGGATGACTCAACCCGGCATGACCCCGCCCCTTTCCTTCTAGAAATTTCGAGTGCTTGCTCGGCCGCCGATGTGGGGTGAGGAGGTTCGTCGGCGTAGCCACGCTTCCGAGAGGAGAGGGAGCATGCCCGGGGAACTTGGTTTTTTTTTTTTTTTTCTCTTTTTCTTTTGACATCGCAGCGTCACTCGGGCGTTTCGTCGCGGGAATTCGGCGGCGCACCCTTTTTGAGCGCTCGTTCTGTTACAGTAGTAATAATACATAGTAGTAACGGCTTCGCTTGGATGAGTGTACATAATTATTAGGTGGCAAGGCCTGCGTCCAAAGGCTATTTAGGGATTCATACACTGGTTTAAAGAAACATGACCTGTACAAACACGGGCACGGTCAGTTTCATTTTAAATAAAAGTCCCATATCATGTGGAAATATGAAAGAAGTAGTAAACTATAATTAGCCAAACGAAAAACTTTAAGCCACGCCACAGACTACCAAAGGAGCTGTTAAGCCACAGTTCCACTCAAATGTGTGCCAGTTTCAGCTCACCATTGAGACAGCTGTGGCCACCCAAAAACAGAAAAGTCCACTGTTCGAAGGAATCATGCAGCATGGAAAAAGTTTATTGTGATTAGCCAATCAAGTAATTAATGTTGCTGGCCACCAAGGCAAATGTTTGGTTGCTATATCACTTCGTGATGTCTCATGGTTGCAGGTGGAGAAAGGTGACTTTGCTGCTTGTGAACAGCTGCTAGAAAAGGCAGCTAATGGTAAGCAATGTGCATCGCATGCCATATGTGTTCAGTTTACCTCTGTGTCCTGGTGAAAATCGTCTTGCCGGCAGCTTCATCTAATCAAGCAAGTTACCATGTGAACAGCTGAAGTTTTCCACAGAATATTGAATTTTCCAGCTCATACAATGCTCGATTGCTTTGATAATATATGCTCCTCAATACATCTGTTGATCCCTAAGGCAACTATGCATATATGACATTGCAGATGATTATTATAGGCAAATAAGCTGCCATGTAAAGTAGAGCCTAGCATAAGTGTGAGCAGTTGCTGAAATGTGTCTATCAGGATATCAGTAGATAGGGAGAGGAGAAACAGATTTCTTAAATCATACCAGCTTGGAAACTCTTCTGACACTAAGACATGTTCATAGTCAACTTCACGGAGGATAGCAGACTGATGCACCATGTGAGAGTTACAACAGAACATGCACCTCATCAAATTAGTCTACGCTGTCATTGCTCCAGTTACCATGAGAAAAATTAGGCAGAGTACTTTCAAATAAGGTTGAGTTCTGAGGCTGCCATATCATCTGCCAAAAAGTAAACTGGGAAGATCAATCAACTGTTCGCTCAATCAAACATGTGGACTTCTGCAATGCGAATTACAACAAAAATGTCGTTTATCAGAGTTTCTTTTTTTCTTGCTATAGGTGGTGTCATAATCTACAAAAGTTCCGCAGTTTCGGCCAATTGCGTATTCGGATTGCGTATTCGGATTGTGACACATGTAATCTGTCTGGAGTTTCACAACTTGTATGATTTAATAACTCCTAAGAGAGAATGGATCTTGAAAGTGCTGTGTGTTATGGTAAATCCCAAATTATTACCTGTGTGGCGAGGCTGTCGAGGCCAAAGTAGCACACCAACTTGTGCCTGATCGTGGTAGTGATGAAGACTTCAGGTTTATTTATATGATGTTTTTTCTATACGAGCATATAGTAAATATAGTTTTGGGGTTGGAGCCTAGCATATAATTGTGCCCCATGTAACCAATGCCTCCGAGTGCTGCAATTGCTTTGTCTAGTGGCCCACTTGTACTTTATATGAATTGAAACTTTTCAACCTTATCTAGTCTGGTGAAATGTCTGATGCTTCAGTCAAACCTGGTCTAACCGATGTGATAACATTAGGCAATGTAGATGTGGTGTTGTTGTGGCCTTAATACTATACATCTCTGCCTTTCTTTGAATTGATCATTAATTTTCTATTCAAAGTGTGTTTCTTTGGTATGCTGTTGTGGTTTACCACTGTAGCAGCTTGCCCAGGTGCTATTCATGATGATGTGTTTGCATCTGTCAGGGTTATGTCAACTGCACTAAAATCTCGTTATTACGAAGTTGCATCTTACAAAATATAAGTTTGTTATAACCGAAATTTTCTTATAAAGGTTTATTCTAAACACTATATTGTGAAACTGTTTTTCATTTACTTTCTTACAGCAGATATTTCGTAATATTCGGGTTTGTCATATCGAAATGTGAGTGTGTTAGGTAAGTGCATTTGACAGGCTGTGGCTTGTGCATGATGTACTGAAAGTATCGTTCCTATTTCAGAGGGTGTCTTCAACGAATACTTGAAGAATGAGGAGTACAGGCCAAGGTGGACACCAATTCTTTGTACCGACAAACGTATGTCTGCATGCATTACTTTTTGTAGAGCATTCGAGGGTCGGTCTCAAACCGTTTGTGTGTTGCTGTATGAGAAATGGGTGCAACATCACAAAAAAAAAAAACAAGACTTCAGAACAAGCATTTTCATTGTGGTTGCCTTGTTAGCTACATATATTCTTTCGTATATACTTTATGCATGACCTTTATTAGAGAAAGAAAACACTGTGGGTTCAATTGTTCCATCAAAAAAACTTGGCATGTCTTGATTGGAGATGAACCGCAAAGGTACTTGCGTTTAATGCACGTAAGGGACAGATGGGATTTTAGAACTGTCTATTAGGTGACAGAACTGGCAGTAGTATCCAGCATGTCGGTAGTAATGGCGCTGCCGTTGCATATTTGGCTCAGGTGGTACACATGGAAATTGAGCCTATTTTGCAAATGTGACTTAATTCATCTTGTATTTAGCATGGAAACAATTTTAGCACTGTCAAGGTTATTTATCCTTTCAATACATGCTGTTCCTTTTGTGTCTTCAGCGGAAGGCAAGAATCGTCCTGGAATGCGCGGCGGCCACCAGATGTGCATCGATGTGCAAACAGGTAAGGTAATGCCAGCGTTATTTATTTTTATATTGCTCTAATCTATACACTTCCCTGCATCATTGTTTCTGTAAAAGCAGGGGCACATTTGTTTTTCAATAATTTTTATTGTATAGTGGTTAATTATAGTGTATGGCATGCTACTTTGCATGTTGCACACAAAAGGCTTTGTTTTGGCCAATTGTGGCTAGACTCCATTTCAACATCTTATTAGGGGTCTACTTCCAGCCACAAGTGCCACGAAAGTTACTTTGGATATTCTGTAAGTTCTATCAAGCTTCTACTTTTCGGGAGCGTCATGCTTCTACGTGTGACAAGCATGAGGTAGACTTGGCAGGTGTGAAAGAGCCTAAAGCTAAAAGTCACAACTTGGCCAACCATTGCGTTATCTTTTTTTGTCCCTCTGCAGAAACATTGTACCTGTTTGGTGGATGGGACGGCATCCAGGACCTTGCGGACCTGTGGTCATACCAGACATCAACAGGCGTGTGGACGTGCTTGTCTAGGGACACCGAAGCAGAGGTCAGTGTTAGTAAAGTGCCCCTTGAATGTGTACTCTGGTCCAGTAGTCTGCTAAAGAGCAGAATAAGAGAAAAAAAGAGATCGCCTCAGCTTGCAAACTTATTGGGGTCATTTAAAACAATGTTACGGTCACAGGACTACTTCATGAGCAGGATAAGATGATGCCTGCTGCAAGTGGGGATTTGCAGTTAGTCTGAAAGCTGCCTTCTATTTCCATTGACCACTAATCTACTAATTGGTCTGCTTTTGAAATGATAGATATAAGAAATGCATGTATATAAAATACATGCGCATTTTACCCTATAGTATGTACAAAATGTGGAAGTTCTACAGCAGTCAATGTGTGGGTGGTAGTGATGATGCCTTTCTGCACTCTTCTACAGCATATTATTATTCCAACTGCAGTTTGGCACACATTTGGCCTGGTTGGTTTGTGTTTACGAGTAGGAAAACAAAGCAAAAAAGACTGCACCAATAAGGACATGGACCACGGCACTGTGGTTTGTGTCCTTCTTTCGTCTCATTTTTTTAGTGCTGTATTCCTGCCGGTAAGTATTGCAAAGAAGCAAAGATATGGCCATACTTCATTTCCACTATCGCTCGCAACTTTGTGAAATAACGAGCTTTTTTCGTGCATCAAAGCTGAGTAAGTCGTTGATGCGAAATATATGCTCAAATCAACCAAATTTCAGCCAGTTTCTGAACCCTGTGTTCGCATTGCAGGGTGGCCCCAGCGCACGTTCCTGCCACAAGATGTGCCTGGACCCAGAACGTAAGAAGATTTTCACATTAGGGCCGCTACCTGGACTCCTCTGCGAGAAGCACCGACTGCCTTAAGGTAGGGTAAAATGTTTTAAGAAGTTACTAGCAATTCGCAAATAGTAAATTACAGGTTTGAAGTGAATTCGAAGCGAATTGTGATTCGGTAGAACTAGTTAGAATTGAATAGTTCTAATATCATACATCTAGAGCAATGCGAATAACAAAGTTTTGGATGCAAAGCGAATTTTAATGTAAAGTGTGAGTGTGAATTGAATCTAATATTTTTCGAATATAGCTCGACACAAAATTGCAGGGAAGGAAAAGACTTCTAAGCTTGTTCTTATAAAATGTAGCCGCAAGAAAGTTTTTTCTATTCTCTAGGTTTGTGAATTTCTGGCAGGGTGGTATTTCTTAGTTGTCTTACTTCTCATAACTTACATAATTACTATGCTTCTATTAGCCTTTGGAGGAAAGTTTAGCAGTGTTTTAACATTTGATAACCACCTGGTGTCCCCATTCTAATTTGTTCAGTGCCACTTTTCATGTTGAACATCATGCAATCTTTACATGATGTTCTGCCAGGACGAAGAGCATGCCAATTAAAGCATGCCGTCCAAGTGCTTCAACTTGTGTTGCCATTCGCGTGCATTCAAAGTGAAGGTGCTTCTATTACAGAGTGACTTTTACGTGTACGACATCGAGAGGAACAAGTGGACCCTCATCACGGATGACACTGCGGCAATGGGTGGCCCCAAGCTTATCTTCGACCATCAGATGTGCATGGACGTGGAGAGGAACACCATCTATGTCTTTGGGGGCAAGATCCTCACAAGGTGAATAGGGCATCCGAATTTCTAGTTGCGAGTTTACAATACTTTAGTAGGACAAATGGCAGTACTGTGAAGTTGTCTGAGTAAAACAAGTTTCTCTAAATTTTCAGTGTACGAATGAACAGTCGGCAACTGTTATACTTACCAGTGACATCGAGATGTATCACTTCCATTGCTTCAGTTGTTTGAGACCAATGTGGGTTTGTAGTCTTGTCTAGGTGTAATTTCCATTGTATTATTTTCAGGTGCATTGATTCCTGGATTAGGGGCAGTAAGGTTACAGCATCAACCTACGTCTTTCACTATGCCAAGGGAGATTACATCACCAAAAAGTGGTGTTACCTGAAGAGATACAGTTCATAATATATTATGTGTGGGTTCTTAACTGCAGTATTCAAGCATTTCCTGAAGGTCAAAATTACTCCAAGTGGTGTGAATAACCTGCCTGTGTAAACTGTGCACGTATCTGTCAGGTTTAGGCACTTTCTTCACTCGACTAAATCGCACTATTAGAGAAGCTTTTGTAATTATAGTCGGTAAAATGTGACTGTTCAAGGCTCTGACTTGTCTTGGTGCATGCAAAGTGTGTCAAGTGTCGAGTCCAACACATCACCTTCTTACCTTCATTTGCAGTTCTCTTGCTGTGGAGGACAGAGCACTTGAGACTGTATTCAGTGGACTGTTCACGTACCACGTGCCAACCAACACGTGGCACAAGCTTCGCGATGATTCGTCCAGCAATGGCCTTCAAGACGTTCGAGCGAGAATAGGACACTCCATGCTGTTTCATGAGGTATGGCATGCCGAGTGCAGAAAATGTTGCAGAGGTTACACGCTCTCGTCTTTTGTTTTGTGAGTACAGAGCGAACGTCTTCTGCGTGATGAAAGCTCAGTAATGTAATGTAATACCGGAGCGAGAAATGGAGCTAATCTATGCCTGGCATTTGCTGGAACTGTGGAAACATTGCTTAGAGTAACAAAAATTTTGTGTCCAAGCAATTGAGATTGTGTAATAAACCAAAGTGGATTCTCTCTGAACGAAAATCTTTTAAACAGAATTGTGGCTCAAGTGGAACAACTGCCTCTAATATTAATGGCCTTGTACTTGAATTCTGCATCCCTCTTCATCATCGTTCTGTAAACTGAATTCAACTTGAACAGAATATGTTTTCCTGGTTCCTCTGAGCACTGTTTAAAGGGACCCTGAAACGGTTTTGGTGATTTTGTACAAACACACTGGGCTGGTAGACCAAGTCCCAAGGGTTATTATCATTTTGTTTTTATTTACTGATACTGCAGGCCCTTCTCAGGCCCATGCAGGAGTGAAACCCAAGAATTCAATGATATCATATATTGTTATAAAATGAGTAGCTTGGCATAATTTAAATAATATACAAAGAATAAGTTCACAACTGTAAAATCATATCAATGTTGACTGCACATAATTTAAGCCCATATTCACTAACCATTCTCAGCCTTACCCTCAAGTTTTTGTCGTCGGCTGTAGCCTTTATTGCGCTTGATGTACAAAGTAGGCCAGTATTCATGAACCAGTCTTGTTATAATCTTTTACCTAGTTAAAATTTTGGTGCCGTTTTAATGCATGTCGAGGGTACAAAAACTTGAGGAAAACTCGAAGTAAGGCCGTGGTTTGTTAGTGAATACGGGCCTTAGAGACCGATTTGAGCTCTCTGCGTAAACTGTGTAATTTATTACAATGCTGTAAAGCTGCCAATCGCTACAGATCGGTGCAGGTCGTTAGGACTCGGTCAAGCGCTTTTTCTACCACCCATTCACAGAGCGACATACTCTGGCCACTTGACGAGGGCAGAGCACGTCAGCAGCCACGTCGCTGTGGCTGTTGGTCTGATTGGCTGTCATGGGCTGTAGAATGTGCAGAAGTAAGATCAACTGGTTGGGTGACAGGACCTGACGGAGCAGATATGAACCACTCCGCGATCTTCGTCTCTGTTGACTGCGCGCAACCTGTCGGCGTGCCATTTCAGAGGCCTAGATTGGTACAAGCTCGAATCGTCGAGTGCACTCATGAGAGCTCTGAGATCGCCAGCGTGCCTCATGATTTGAGGAGGCCTGGCAGAGTTGAGAAGGAGGGTATGATATAATTGTCCGTTATGGCCTTGGTACACGGCATGTCACTAAACTCGTGGTTCGAATGGTTTGATGGTACTGTAGCCTGTACGCTGACAAAACTTGAAAGAACCCTTTCAGGGTCCCTTTAATGAGTGTTCTGTAGTAAAAGGCAACAGTAAGTTTCATCATTTTTGAAGGAATAGCGTAAGTGCATTGAAAACTGCCTCACAGTTCTTTTATTATGAATTAGTTTGTGAATTACTATATAATGTACGAAGCCAATTTTCTTTGTCTTGCCTATACATCCTGCCTTGTGTTCAACTTAATTGAGCTAAGAGTCATCATTCAATGCATAGCCTGAAATAAGAGGTATTTCTATATTTGTCTGTGTAGGTAAGTGTAAAGTTACACACTGTGGCTTCAGGCTTATTGTGCCTGTCGGCATTCACACTTCTTACGCGCATGCACTCTCCACCAGAAATCTCGCCTGCTGTACATTTTTGCTGGGCAGCGCTCCAAGGAGTACTTGACGGACTTCTTCACATACAATGTGGATACAGACCAGATGAACATCCTCTGTGATGGCCAGAAAGTGGAAGGTAAAAACTGCAGTCCTGCTTTTATAGTAAGCCGTCTGATTCAGTGTAGCAGTACTACTAGCAAGACAAGCCACTGTAACAGGCCAGCTTAGCCACTTGGCAACTGCTTTAGTGACCCATCATCGCTGCTGCAGTGCTGTTGTTTCACCACTCTTGTGCTTTTGCATAGACTGAATTACTAAGTGTCTTTTTTGTCAGTAGTGTTTTTGTGTTTATGTATTATGAATATTGAAAAAAAGACAATTTCAGTGCCTAATGCAACATTGTTGTAATAAGGTATGGCTTTAGTTGCAGTGAATTGTTTTCTGGCCTATGTTTCTACACTTACTGTGCATTTGTGATTTTAATTTAATTGCAAATGTGCAAAACTAGAAATGCTCTTTTCTTGAAGGTTCTTTAAGCTCACTGATACGATTCGCAGGCAGCAGAGGGGTGCGAGAAATTCGCGAAGGAGCTTGTACCGTATGTGAATTATGAAGCAATTCATACAGCATTTGTCTATGACATTTAATGTCATTGTTGGAATGTTCATAATGGACATGTGGCATATCGGAGAACTCGGCGAAGAGCTCGCACATATACATACGCCCAAGTGATTGAAGATTACTCACGGTAACCTTGTGTCGTGCGTAGTGCCAGCGGCGGGGTTCACGCAGCGAGCAACCATTGACCCCGAGCTGAACGAGATCCACGTGCTGTCGGGGTCAAACAAGGACAAGGAAAAGCGTGAAGACAACGTCAAGAACTCCTTCTGGATCTACGATATCAACCAGAACAAATGGTAAGTTATTGCATACAAACGAATGAGCCAAATGCGACACGCACATGTCCTTTCCTTTTTTCAGGTCGTGCATCTACCACAGTGACTACGGTCAACAGGCAGCATCGAAGCAAAGCATGCAGGAACCCTGTCCTCGGTTTGCTCATCAACTTGTCTACGATCACGTCAAAAAGGTTGGTTCCTTTCCGGAACCCCTCCCACTTTGGTCTTCATTTATCTTAAACAATCAGAACTTTATCTCATTGCACACCTTCATTGCTCAGCTGCAGTTTCTAAAACTCATTTCTGCTGCAACATCTTTTTTTCCGATTCAGTTTGTTGGATGCAAGCCGTAGCTTTCCTAAACTTGTAGCACACATGTGAGGCCATGTATCACCACCAAGCCCATTCTTACACCCTTTCAGCCTTAGCTTTTCACATTAACTTGTTGGTAGCTTTCCAAGTGTGCCTAGTGCTTTCTGTGTTTGTTTGATTTGATGTGCCATAGTAAACAGAAAAGTTTATCTGTCATTATACACTACCTGCTACTCATATATCAAGCATTTTTTCTGCATCATGCTATTAATTAAAAAATAAAAATAAAGCTAACCTCTCTTACATTTACAAAAGCCCTCTGCAACAATGGCTTGCACTAGGTGGTTGTGCCTTTTCACATTAGTTTCTTACCGTCAAGAAGGGGTGCACACATTTGTAAGCAAAAAATAAGTTGATGTTTGCAAACTAGGGGCGTGCTAATATTCTAATTTGGGAATATTTTCTAATACTGGTGTTTCTTTTTCAATTTGATTTGCACTGGAATTTGACTAATCGAACTATTCCAACTTCCCAAAAACAAATACAGTCAACATCCCATATACCATTTTCAAACGCACCAGCGCCACCAACAGCTGCGCGAGTGTTCATGGGAAAAGTGTGTATGCCGGAGCAGCCGCCATGACGAGTACGCGGGCCTCATGCTGTACCTTTCCACTTGCGCAGTTCCAGGAGTTCTTAGACACTGTGAATTTGGCTAGGGGCAACATAATACTGTGTAATTTAATCACAAACCTCAGCGTTTAGCTGTGAGGGCCTCTCGACGATTTCCAGCGTTTCCACAATGGAATCACATGAGCGACTCAAAACGTTGCCCCCCCTCCCCCTTTTTTTTTACGCCAGTGCCTTACAACAGAAGTGAAATAAACAAGATGCCACTCGGTGCCCTATGAAGAGCATGTGCGGCATGGGCATCAGCAGGGTGGGTGCAAAACCGGCACTTGCTCCACCTGCACTTGCCCTCACCCAAGCTGCATCAGTGCTCTCCTCCTTCCCCGGCCTCGTACTATGCAATACTGGTTTGCACTCCCCCCCCCCAAAAGAAAGTCTTGCCGACCACCATGATGTGAGGTCTTAGATTCACGGATGCATTTGTAACCAATGTTCATTGACGCTGTTGACGAGTGCAATGTCAGGTTCTAATTTTTAAAGAGCACGAGAAAGTATAGTCGGTATTTAATAAAACAAGATACATTCACAGCGTCCGCATCGCCCGCACCATATACGTAACGAATGGTAAGTGTCTACTAACCTTCATTAGCACTGTAACTACAGGTTATAATTGTACATGGAGCTAAAAAAAAAAAATTCAGAACAAGGGATAGATGCACCATCTAGCGCCCACTCACAAATGAAAGTTTATTACACACGTGTAAAAAAAAAAAGAAAAATGGTTGTGCAGTGGGCATCTCGTAAAAAGTCACAAGAAGTCAAGCAACAAAGGCGCGTGTGTAAGTTCGAATAATACTGTCGAATTACTTGTCTTGTAACGACCGCGAAGGTCTACTTAAACCAAGTGGGGGGGGGGGGGGATTTGTGACATGATATGCCTCCGCCATTTCTCGCATTGTCTGATTAAGTTGATGGTGCAAGACTGCTGTGCTTTCAAAGACTGGGTTACATTGGCGTGACTGACATAGCGAGGCGAGATGAGACGCTTCCATGCAATGAATTTCGATGCTCGCTGCGACATAATATGGTAGACTCCTAATAAACGAAACTCGCTTAAGTGAAAGACTCCTATTAAACGAAACTCGCTTAAGTGAAATTGCTGCTTAAATAGAACAACTGCCTGTAATATGTTTGGTTTCATACCTGAATATTATACTCCTGTTTATCTCTCAATAAACAAAACTTCTCTTAAAGGAAACATATTTTCCTGGTCCCTTCAGGTTTCATTTAAAAGGAGTCTACTGTACATCGACCAGTCTGACCAATGTACATATGAAAAAAAAAAAAAACAGATAAATTTATGTTTGACTCCTGCACAACTACTGACAAAACAATTGCTATGACAATGACCACATTTTTCTTCACCCACTGCAGACTTTTACGACCTTTTGTGCATTACAGAACACATGCAAGTAATCTTATTTGTGGCGGCAAACACAACCCTCACCCCATGTCACTTCCTTTACATTCTTCAGGTCATGTGACTTTTTGCACATATGTGAAATAAGTGCAATTTTTTTAGCGTCCTCATTATTCACGAGTGAAGTACTCTGTATTTATCTTACTTTGCCATGTGAACCGATATTCACAAACTTATGCAACGACACGCAGGAAACCCCATTTCTTTGAAGGGATCATTTTGCTGCTGGAAACTACTGCTCATTTTATGTGTGCAAAGTTTTTTTCCAATGCCATGCGTTACGTAGCATGACGTCATATTTCCTCATTTAACAATATTCTAATGTGCCAATGCTAAATTAAACTCTTGTCTCGCTGTACCAGCAGTGAAACAAGTGTTATATATTACTTATGTATCAAAGTTATGTATCAAGAAACAGCAAGTTATCAAAGCAAGGAACTCGCAATGAATTCTAGTCGCATTCCTTTTTCTTGAAACAGGTTTAAAATGTGCTCACTTCTTTGTACAGTGCATGATTTGTGAATTGAAATCAAATAACAATCTTTACACTTGATAGACTACTACTGCTGCTGCTGCTGTTTCCGTTCTTGCTGTTGATGATGATTTTATTTACTTGAGATCAACTAAACACCACAAAACCTCTCTGTAGTTTGGTTACACCTGACACACAAAATAAATTGTTCAACTTGTTCACAAGTAATCATTGAGTAATTATGAATTCGGGGTTCCAGCTGGCATTGCTCACAATAGCACGTTTTGACTGCACGTATCGGCACGTGATCACTCGTATGCCACTTAACGGCTACATTCCGTGTACATCGGTAATACCTACATGGACTGCATCATTCCTATCCCCATTTCGTGCATAGAGATACATGCAGGTGTGTTCAGACATGTATAGTATTTAGGATGTAATATTATTCAACAAGGGGGGACGCATTTTATTTTTCTACTTTGTTTGGTGCTCCACGGTGCCAATGAGCAGCAGGCAACGGAAAACAGCCGGCGCACCTTACTGCTTTCCCACACCAACTTTTTCTATAGTGATTAGCGCGCCCCGTGGGGTTCTGGGATTGCTTGAAAATGCTCTATTCACAGTGGCCACCCTTCAGAATTTTTTTTTTTATGCTTTACCCGGTCACACTCTCGTATTGTGGCAAAGCTGCCCTTCATGCTTTAAGTTCACAAATGTATTGACTCAAAAAAATGCAAGGTCTAATATGAGGATGGTAGAAGTGGCAGAGGTTGGGGATACTTTAATTCTGTTTCGGACCTGAAATTTGGGCATTATGTCTGAAAAATGGGACGACGAAGATTTTTAGCATCCGAAATTTCAGATGTTCTTGTACATTGATGTGTATGAGGCAGAATAAGAACTCCATACTCAAAGGGAGCCAATCTTGTCCACCACATCAGTTGGGCTTTCACGAAAGTTGGAAGAGTAGGAGAGGCTGAGGAAATGGCATCTTTGCCTTTCATGTGTAAAGGGTCGGCACCACTTTGGTTGTAACGAGTCATGTAAATAAATTCAGTTTGGCTTCTGCATAGTGTCATTCTTGATAAGACAACGAGGAAATGCCATCCCTTCGGCTCTTGAATAACCTAGCGAAAAGAAATGCTTTCATGTTGCTTTCTCACAAGAATATGCTTAGAAATTCTCTCCAACTTTTTGTAATTTCGCTTCAAAGTAATTGAGAAACATTCGTAAAATATTCTATTGAGTTGTACTCAAACTTCGCACGCACCCAAAATTTTGCTATTCGCTCAGTTCTACTGCAAACACATTAGAGTGCCTGTTCCAGTCTTTACAGGGTAATGAGGCTTAACGTCGCCCTTTTAGATGCCTGAAACCGAATGCTTAGTGCCCAACAAATGTGCCCCATCTACGTATCACTGTTTCCTGGCCTTTGCACTAAGCCGGTATCGAATGCTTAGTGCCCAATGCTTAGTGTCTCTGTACACCTGAAAAATACATGCTCCAGATTCTTCATGATTTGTCAGCATGATCTACCTGTGAAGGGCCCAAGACATTGTGCACACCGAGGTTCAACATTCATATAGCAGCATCTTTGGCAGTTCTGGTCAGTTCGGTTCAACTAATCAGGGTGACGTACATGGCTGTGGCTTCTCAATTATTTGAAGGTTCATCACAGTCCATCAAGCCTGTGTTTCATAAGTTGTTGATTTGCTCTGACATCTCTGCTTTCTTTTGCAGGTCCACTACCTTTTCGGCGGAAATCCAGGTCGACCGAACTCTCCAAAAGTCAGGCTAGATGACTTTTGGTCATTGCAGGTGAATACTTATTCTCCTAAGCAGAACGGCTTATTTACACAGTCATCTGTAGCATCGCTTTCATGATTGCACTGGGAGAGTGTACAGTTTAACTTGGATATAACAAAATTGATAAATTTTCGGAAACATTTGTTGTAAGGAGGGTTTCATTCTCCTTGTCTGAAGGGTGCATAGGTATCTGCCAATATCCTGATTGTAGGTCTATTGAAGAAAAGTACAAAGCCAAGTGTAAGCAGTCAATAACATTGTCAATCTTAGGCAGCGGATATACATCTTTTTTGGTCACGTCGTTGAGTCTTCTGTAATCAACGCAGAACCGCCAAGCACCATCTTTCTTCTTAACCAAGATGACCGGTGCTGCCCACGGGCTACACGACTCTTCAATAACACCCTTCTTCAGCATTTCCTGAACCTGGTCGGCAATAACTTTTCGTTCTGATGATGACACTCGGTAAGGCTTTCGTAGGATCGGATGGGCAGTGCTGGTGTCAATCTTATGGTGAGCGCCAGAACATGGTAAAGGGAGTGGCTACTCCTCTTGGCAAAAGTCAAACACAGAAGCATGTCGCCTCAACAGATGGTGTAACGTCTGCTGCTCGTGTGACCGCAAAGTGGCACTAATCATGCCTAGGATCTGCGACTCGTAAGAGCAACTGCGCTTGCCAGAGACTGTACCTTTCTCGCTTTCATCGTTGTTAACGACCGCTACAGAACCTCCAGTGGAATCATCGAAGACGCCAAGCTTCATTCGTCGAGGGAGCACAACCAGCATTGGCGAACAGTTCAGTGCCCACAGAAAGGTTGCTCCTTCATCAACAGATACCAAACAACGAGGGACGAATATGCCTTTCTTAGCACATTGAACGATGGCAGGTTCAACGATGGCGTCAAAAGATGTGGCAGATTCTGGGGCGAACACCGCAACTCACCTCATTGACCATGGCGGCACTGTCAGCTCATTGGAAACAATCAGAGCATCCTTCGCGACCTGCGGCGCCTCATCGACGAGTGCAGGAACAATGTCACCGCTGACGGAAAGTTCACCTCTTCTACAGTCAACGGAAGCGCCACATCCTTGGAGAAAGTCAAGACCGAGAATCACATCGTGGGTACAATGTTGCAGCACAAGAAACTCTGTTGTGAACACCTTTCCTGCCAATGAGACATCGACGACACAAACTCCGACAGGATGAAGTACTTCCCCACCAACACCACGAAACCTTGTTAATTCGCCCCAAGAAAACATAACATTGCGGCCAATGGGTCTTTTGAAAGAAAGACTCATAACTGATATTGTAGCACCTGTGTCCACCAACGCACTTGTACAAAAGCCATCTATTTTCACACGTATCTTGTTCTTGGACATTATAACTGGCGGAGGCATCTGAGGCAAATACTGTTGTGCGACCTCACCTCCATCAGTTGCGCTGGCTAGTTTCCCGGTGGCGGCGGTGATGACAGGCGTCGTCCCGGCGAAGGGGAACGATGCAGTCAGCCAGATGGAGGCGTCAAACTACGGTCAGAAGTGGGAGAACTCCCACGGTGATTTCCCCGCCGTGAGGTACTCCTAGAATAGGCGGGCCAATGACCGTTGTTGTGACCAGTGCCCGCTGGCGGAAACTCTGGTGGGGAACGATATCGGGATGTCGGCTCTCTCTGTCGACGACAGAACAGAGCTATATGCCCGGCGATACCGCAGCGGTAGCACACAGGAGCTTGGCGGTATGCATTGTACTCCTGGAAGGCATTGCGCTGACGTGGTGGTGGTACGGGTACATCTTTGTTCGGGTCGTAATAGGTGTTGGCTGGCTGATGGGGGTAACTGAAGCGGTCTTCGTACCTTGGCAGCGGGTAGTTATTGCGCTGTGACCTCCTGGTGGTGAGGGTGGCCTGTAGTTGCAGTCATCGTTGCCTGCTGCGGCAATTGACACGGAAGGGCGAGAGGGAGGCGGTGCGGGTGTAGCTTTGTACGGCGTCGGGCGAGCGTGTCGAGTGAGCTCTTCTTGAACGATCTGGCGTATTGTCGACGTGAGATCAAGCGGCGTGTATTTGTCAACACTTGCCACGGTGGTTACATTCGGTAGGCGACCGAACTTGGGGGTGATACGTCGCATCTTCAGGGTCTCGAATGTGCGACAGTTGCTTGTGACGTCAGTTACCGTAGCAAGGCTGTCTTTGCTGATGAGGAACTGATACACGTCCTTGGCAATGCCCTTCAGCAGGTGGCCAACTTTGTCTTCTTCTGACATAGAAAGGTTGACAACCTTGCAGAGCTTCAAGATTGCCTCGACATAGGTCGTGCATGTTTCTCCTGGGATCTGAGCTCTCTGCAGTAACGTTTGTTCCGCCTGCTTTCTCTTAGCTACGGCATCTTCGAAGCACGCTCTTATTTCAGAAACGAAGCGATCCCATGACGTGAGGGCATCTTCGTGGTTCTCGTACCACACGAGTGCTGTGTCCGTTAAGAAAAATACTACATTGGTCAGCTGGGTCGCCGCGTCCCACTGGTAGTATTTGCTCACCCGTTTGTAGTGTGTGAGCCAGGCATCCACATCCTCGCCAGATTCGCCACCGAATGTGCGAGGCACTATTAGATCCTGACGCAACCAGGGACCAGCCGCACGTGAACTTGGTACTAGCGGTGCTGCTGGGACTGGTAGAAGGTCTGCAGCTGTGGGGATCCGGTTTCCTTCTTCGCCGTGAGACATCTCAGCTGCCAGTGGTAACGGGGGCAGTCCAGCAAGGCGGCGGCTTCGTCGTAGATCAGGCGCTTGAAGCGTCGTGTTGCTTGGTTGATTACCCAGCACCTCCACCACAAAACTGTTACGGTTGAATTAAAGGATAGGTAGATTTATTTACAGGGTGAGGATGAAGTTCGGCAGTCGCGGTAAAGATGGAGTCCTCAGGCCGCACTAGACAACGTCGTCTTCCTCTTCCACCTACCCGGCACATACTACAGCCCCGCTCATACCGTAGCAATATGCAGGTTCGATACGAAAATTCGGAAAATAAATGCACAAATTAAACAAAAGGCTGACTGAAGACAGAGCTAACCCAAAACATCTGTGTTGCGGTAACAAACTGCGTTATTATTGCAATAGCAACGTTATGAACAGTTTCGGCGAGTTTTTGACATAGCCGCCATGTTCCGTAACAGGTCCCCGTACATCATTATTGCCCCCGCACATTATAATTTTTACAAGTGGGTAAAAGTGCGCGAGCGCTGCTGAAACAGAGATCAAATGAGTCGGCCCATCTCTATCACCTGAAAGGCACATAAGATAACATCCTTCGCATGTAAGAACTGTCATCAGATGCTCTAACAGAAAGGAAACCACCCGTCTTGAACGAGCATGAAAAAACGTGGAAAGGGATCGCTCCAGTAGCAATAATGAACTTTGATTTTAAGGACGGTTGTGCTCGCTGGCATGCATGCTTTGTCGGCAAGTATTGGTGAACTTTCAACGCAAAGAGACTGTGTGAAAAGAGCAATTCTTCCTGGAGCAGCCATATTTGCTCACACAAGCGTTTTGTAGTATTGGACCCAGAAGAGCTGGCTGCCAGGCTTCGTATAACATTACAATTTTTCACTAGCGTGTTCGCTGCATTTCATTCAACGTGCCGGCTTGTTGTTGCCAGAGCTCATCGGCTCATCACTAATGCTATGAGTCTGCGAACTTGTGGTACGGCGCAAGACGGTAGGGCGTGACGAGTTGACCTCCGAAGATCCGCCATCACCGTGGTCTCGAAGAGTTTTCATTAACGCCTAATTTGACACTACCTCGGCAGTGATGACACAGTTGTCCGCATTTAAACAAAAATGAACAAGAAAGCGAAGCTGAACGTTGTCGGAGGCCAAACCATGCGTGCACGGCATCGAAAACGAAGAGCGAATAATATGGGTATGGCAGAAAACTACTCAATAAAGCGGCCGCCATATACAGTTTTTTTTCTTTTTGTTTGTTCGGAGAGGGAGGGAAGGCACATTCACACAGCGGCAGGAACGGCGGCTACACCGCATCATGGGTCGCAGGCCCGCCTGCCCACGTCGCGCGCAGTAACGAGCGCTCGTTCTCACCTGGTTGTCACCGGGGCCACGAGCACGCCACCGCCACTTTGCGCTTCGTCGGCAGCGGGGCACTCGCAGAATATACATGCTCGTATTAAAATGACGAAATCCGAGCTAAAATTCCTATATTGTCAGTGGGAAAAATTCATTAAAATAATGTTGTCTCTCACTGTTACTTTGTTATATAGAGGTCGCATATACATGTGTTTCGATTGAGCAAAAGCGGAGAATAGAAAATCCTTGTTATATCGAGGAATTCTTTATATAAAGGTTCGTTATCAGCAGGTTTAACTGTAGCTGTGACAAATGACTTGTGGTTGGTTCTAAACATAGTAACAGTGTCTCTCATCCGTGTCCCTGGAAAATTCTGAAACTGGAGGGGAATAATTGACAGTGTCAGGTGACCGTAATGAAAAATGTGCTTTCTGCAAGTATTGTTCGGCAGAAAGTAATGAAAGAATTTCTTAGCATAAGGATGTTAGCTAAGTTGCCAAAGCAGTTACATTAACATATTAGTTTTGGGGACATCATGCTGTAGTTGAAGGTTGCAAAAAGGGACGCATGACATTGTAGCAGTACACAGTGCAGCCTTAACTGCAGGAGTAGTACTAAAGATGTTTAAAATGACTATTACTTCATTTAGCATATTTATAAATGGGTACATTTTCCGTGCTTGTATGCAAGTGCAAATGTCTCAAGTGCAACAGTCATCTACAGTATTCCTTTGAAAAGCTACTTAGCTTCTAATTTCTTGTGGTTGTAGGGCAGTGTTTCAAACAGTTGTGAGCATTGAGGCTTGTCAGTGATGCTTTACAAGTATTTAATTTCGGGCGAAGCGCAAGAGAAGGGACAAAATACAAAAAAAAATGGATTAAGTCAGTAAATTTTTGCCAACTTCAATTTCAATGGCACAAGAACCTGCAATGCGATGTCCTTGTTGCTGCAGCTGTGTCGGCCGTCCAAGGAGCAGCTGTTGAGGCGATGCAGGCAACTAGTGAGGCAGCACTGCTTTCGCGAGATCACCTTCGAGAATCCTCTGGCAGCACTTCAGTACCTGCAGACGGAGCTGGCTGACACGGTGGACCACTCTAACATTGAGGAAGAGAGACAGGTCGGCATGCGCGCTGTACTTGATTCCTCCACTTGTAGTTACACATCCTCGTTTCACTTCTACTTTTTTGACCATTTGAAAAACATGCCTCAAACATGAGCCGTTGGCTTCCAAGTTGGAATAGTATTAAGCATAGATCCAGCAGACAAACAGATATGAAATGAAGTGGTGTGAGGAGGTGGGAGGGAGAGAACATCAGCAGCCTCTGTAAACCAGTTTGTAGTATTATCTTCATACTGCAGATGTGAATAAGTGACCACCCAATATAGTCAGAGGTTGTGTTTTTGGCTACTTACTTGAAATGCCTTTCCTATCTCCGCATTTCTCGGAAAATAAGAAACAGCATGAGCCATGGGACAACAGCACAGATGCGCTGTCCATCTCCGTCACGTTGTCCTATGGTTTGTTTCTATGAACATGTACCAGTCCGCCGAAATAAGCTCTCTAGGGCTGTGCACTTCCATATTTCAATTTTCTCTATAGTAATTTGTACCTTGGACTTGTTTTCTGCTGCCTTCATATTTGCTGAGTCTCTGGTATAGGTAAAGCTTACAATTATGACCTTCTATAATACTGAAATTTTCAGATTTTGAAAGCATTATTAAACAACATAACAGAAACGGGTTGCTGCAATAGCGCCATTACAGTGCTGTGCTGACCTGGACAGGCACACTGCTTATGAAAACTTGATCACATGCATTGGATTTGACACTGCGTCTGGTCTGTGATGTGTGCTTGCACGTGCTCATAGTATCATGCTTTCTGCTGTTTTTACTCTGCTTTTCCTAGCCCATTTAACTGTAGAATGTGTTCTATTTTGTTCTCTTTTTTTTTTTTCCAGTTTCAACTGCAAGCGTCTAGTCTCTTCAAGCGCCCCGACACGGACCCTGATGAGATGACAACGGCAGCTCCTCTAGGAGGTATGGGCTTGCTGCATTGGGCAGGTAGCAATCTGCATACAGTGGTATTCTTGCTTCCACTGGATTGCTTCAGCTTGGTGTATCTGTGCTTTTTCATTAACAGGATGCTAGGCCTTCAGCCGATTGTCTGATAGTCACTATGACAACTAACATTATGCCGTCGTCGTTCTTTCTCAAATTCGGGCAGAAAGGTTGTTCGCACTCTTTCCCAAACGCTTCGCATTTCTTATATCCCATGCATACTTTTTGGTTTGAGCACATTGTTTTGCATGCAGGTGGGTGCTGTTGGCCCTGCCACTTGTTGAACAGCCATAATGATCCTTATGGTAATGTTGTTAACACTGCACAGTTTAGCTTTGGCTGCTGCATACGCTTGCGCCAGCATACATCGGACTTGTTTGTTTCGAATTATTGTGTATATGTACAGGCTAAGTCCCTTTACACATAGCCCCGCCGCGGTGGTCTAGTGGCTAAGGTACTCGGCTGCTGACCCGCAAGTCGCGGGTTCGAATCCCGGCTGCGGCGGCTATGGAAGCGGAAATGTTGTAGGCCCGTGTGCTCAGATTTAGGTGCACGTTAAAGAACCCCAGGTGGTCGAAATTTCCGGAGCCCTCCATTACGGCGTCTCTCATAATCATATAGTGGTTTTGGGATGTTAAACCCTACATATCCCTTTACACATATTTGTTAATATTGACGCGTGTGTACTGGTGGACTAAAACGACGATAAGGGGATTTCGCGGGCACCAGGTTGTGGAGCTCTGGCTGATCGAAGATAAAGAAGGTGATCTTGCTGTTCGGCTGCTGAGAGTCACTGTGCCAACAATTATTTGCCTTTGGTTTGCGCTGTACCGCGACACTGGTGGAAGTGCTGGGGCGACCCTACCTAATGCTCTATACTCCCACTGGGAGCCGTTCATCTAGCTCGCACGCATTGTCGCCCATTGCAACTCCCGCGCACTGGTTCAGTTGGCGGCTGATAGGCCTTGCTCCAGAGTTCACTCCTCCCAACAAACCTCGCAGGCGCCGATTTCCTCTCCAAATAGCCAACGCCAGTCCGCAACCGGCGCCCCAAGTCCCCCCGCCGACACAGCCTTCACAGGTAACCATCTTTCAAACGCTGGTTCCCGATCACTTTAGTGGTGGCGCCCATGAAGATGTTGACGACTGTCTTTAGCACTATGAGCGTGTCGCCAAGATTAATCTATGGCCTGAACAAGAAAAACTCTCATGCGCCTATTTCTACCTTGATGGCGGTGCGAAAATTTGGTATGAGAACAGAGAAGCCAGTCTGTTAACTTGGGGTGACTTCCGACAACAGCTTGTCGACACGTTCGCCAATGTCGATCGACGCGACCGTGCGCAGCAGCTGTTGGAGCTACGGGTTCAAAAACCCAATGAAAGCATTGCTATGTTTGCTGAATATATGACTCGTCTTTTTCGTCGAGCTGAGCCGAACATAAGTGAAGATAAGAAGTTGAACTACCTCATGCGCGGCGTTAAGGAGCAACTTTTTGCCGGGCTACTGTGCCACCCTCCAAGTACCGCAGTTGACTTTATCAAGGAGGCTACGGCTATAGAGCGGGCCCTCCATCAACGATGCAGGCAGTATCATCGAATGTCTAGCAGTGCCCCAATCAATGCTGCCGCCATACCTGAGGATCAAAGCTCCCTGCGAGACCTCATTAGGGAGATAGTTCGCGAAGAACTGCAAAAGTTCCGGACTCCAGTTGCTCAAACCCCCGTTGCGTCCGTCGATGAACTGGTACGCGACGAAATCCGCCACGCATTTTCTACCGCTGGTCCTGGTGACGAGCACCGTCCCATGAGCTACGCCGACGCTCTGCGACATTCACCATCTGGTACATCACCGCTATATCACCCAGTCCCGACGGCCCCTTGGTCATCGCCGCAAGAGCAGACCCTAAGCCGACCGCCAAGCCAACCGACGTACCCCCAGCCGTCCACAGCAGCACCATGAACATCGTTGCAAGAAGGGAGGCTCAGATGTCCACCGCTCTGAAGAACAGACGCATGGCGCACAATCGATCGACGTCCACTATGCTTTAACTGCGGAGGTGCAGGTCATATCGGCCGTCATTGCTGGCACTGCAGTGATTCGTTCCGCCCTCTTCGAACATGGTCTGACGATCGGCGTGCGAACGAAGAATACATACCACGCCGGGAGGACGCCTCTTTCCATGGAGCCCGTTCTCACTTTTACGAATGCCGTACTTTTGACGAGGAGGCAATACCTACCCTCCAGCCAGGTTTGGGACGTCAATCCCGCTTTCCTTCTCTTGCTCATTCACCTTCGTCACACTGACGTACCTCCGCGGACCTTAACGCAAGAAGGTCACCCAGCCCGCGCCGGGGAAACTGAGGGCGGCGACCTCTGGGGGTAAGGTTGCAGGCCATGAAGATGACGATGAAAAGCCCCCATTACACGACGCTATAATCTGACAAGACGTGAAAACGACGCCATTGTGACCGCCGATCTTAGTGTTTTTCTTGACGGCCAGAAAGTAACAGCCTTAGTCGACACCGGTGCCGACTTTTCTATTATCAGTCAGGACCTCGCCATCCGCCTCAAGAAAGTGAAGAAGCCATGAACAGGCCCTCAATTAAGGACGGCAGGTGGTCAGTTATTGATGCCCTCTGGAAGATGCACAGCGAGAATTGACATAGGAGGTTCTTCTTTCGTTGCGTCGTTCGTCGTTCTCGCCGCATGCTGCAAGGATCTAATTATTGGTATGGACTTCTTACGAGAATACGGCGCCATCATCAATATCCCAGACAGTTTGATTACATTCCGCAACAGTTCGGGCGCACCTGATTGTACACAGGCGCGACCAAACCAATTGCGTCTAACTGATGACGATGAGGTTCTCCCTCCTCAGTCATGCACGCTTGTTTCTGTGGCAGCCGCTGTCCAGTTTGACGGCAAAGGAGTAGCAGACCGAATAAGCTCGCTCCTCCTCACACGCGGCATTTCCGTCGCAAGAGGTATCGTCAGTGTCGCCGCTGGATGCACAGACTCGCTTCTGACAAATTTTAGTGATGAGCGCTGGCACCTTCCAAAAGGCATGGCCGTCGCTTACTTCGACGATATCACAGACGCAGAAGGCTGCTTGGCAGTAGTGGATGAGGCGCCGAAACTTGATTCAACACCAGTTCTCGACGTTAGCACTACTTTGCCTAAAACGAGCAGAATGAGGCTTCTTGAGCTACTGGCCGAATTCAAAGACTGCTTTTCGACAACATCAAGAGTTGGCCGCACGCCTCTAACCAAGCATCGGATAATTACCGAGGACATGGCGAGACCAATTCACCGAAACCACTATCGCGTGGCTCCAAAGGAATGCGAAGTGTTACAAGAGCAAGTCGATAAAATGCTAGAAGATGACGTCATTCAGTCATCAAAAAGCCCCTGGGTGTCACCTGTAGTCCCCGTTAAAAAAAAGACGGCAGCCTGCGCTTCTGTGTAGATTACCGAAAACTCAATCACATGACAAAGACAGATGTGTATCCACTTCCTCGTATCGATGACTCTCTCGACAGACTTCGACCTGCTCGTTACTTTTCATCGATGGGCTCAAGGAGTGGGTATTGGCAAATCGAGGTAGACCCAAGATACCGCGAGGCGACTGCTTTTGTGACACCAGATGGCTTATATGAATTTAAAGTCTTGCCCTTTGGTTTATGCTCAGCGCATGCTACCTTTCAAAGACTTATGGATACCGTACTTTCTGAGTTGGAGTGGAAAACCTGCTTGGTCTACCTTGATGATGTAGTTTTCGCCGCAACATTTGACCAGCACCTTAAAAGACTTGAGGCAGTTTTACAAGCCATACGGTCCGCGGGCTTGACGTTGAAGCCTGAAAAGTGTCACTTTTGCTATGAAGAGCTGCAATTTCTTGGCCATGTTGTCAGTCACGCAGGCGTTCGTCCTGATCCTGAAAAGATCGCAGCTGTTGCACAGTTCCCGGTGCCGACTGACAAGAAGGCTGTCCGACGATTCCTCGGACTATGTGCGTATTATAGGCGATTCATCGCGGACTTCGCACGCATCGCATCACCATTAACCCACCTCACGAGTGAAGATGTTGCTTTCCACTGGAGCAACGAAGAGGAAGCTGCTTTTAAGAACCTGTGCCAGCGACTACAGACGCCTCCAGTGCTTGCCCACTTTGATGAGAAAGCCCCAACGATGCTACACACTGATGCCAGCAATCTTGGTTTGGGAGCTGTGCTTGTGCAGCTGCAAGAGGGCACAGAAAGAGTAATCGCCTATGCAAGCCGAACACTGCAAGCACACACTGCATGCAAGAACACTGCATGCAATAACAGACAAAAAAAAACTGCACTACTGGTTTAGCATCGGGGCGATGCTCATTAAGAGCGGGGCAAATGACACGTGTGTACTGGTGGACCAAAACGACGATAACGGGATTTGGCGGACACCAGGTAGTGGAGCTCTGGCCTGATTGAAGATAAGGAAGGTGATCTTGCTGTTCGGCTGCTGAGAGTCACTGTGCCAACGTGTATCTGCCTTTGGTTCGCGCTGTACCGCGACAATATGTATGAAATATTTTATGTGTTGAATTACTCATGTATAGAGCTCTATTGTAGTCCCCTTCAGATTTCATATGCTATCTTTATTTAACCCTTTAAGGCACTCTGTACATAATTGTGTATGCCACTTGTTTTAGCTATTTGCATCAAGTAGGGGCAAAAAAGGAGCAAGATATGTCGTACTTCAGATGAATTGAACCTCCTGCATAATACATTTGCCTTGATTTAACTTCATTTTGCAGTGTACTGATACATGTGATCACTTTTCGGAAGGTCACTACCACGTTCGTCGAGTTCTGCGACATGCAGCTTCCTTGAAGAAATGTGAAAAGCGGAACTTTTCTTCGCTCAAGATGAACATGACCAAAAATGAATTTGAGCCATATTTCTAGATTGAGATTTGATTCTGTTCACGCTAAAGATAAGCATCAATGGCTTCATAATAAAAAGATGTTGAATTACAACTTAATTAAAACTAATTACTTTAACACACATGTATTCAATAGTTATCTTTTTATTCTTGATGCAATAGGATATTAAGTGCCTTGAAGTAACATAATGATTTGACACATTTACAGACAGTACCTCATAGGCGGCATCTGAAAGGGTTATAACTGTGTTGTTCAGTTCTAGCTAATGTCTACGATATATTATCATGGCCGAGTGTAGTATAACATCACAGTAACTTGTGTTCTTACTTTTTCTTTTGCCAATTTGACTGGGACATCATCAATACTTGGGTTTGTAGCTACGCCTTCTTTACTCCCACAACCCTCTTCATGTATTGCCCCATCTGTGGTGTGTTCGAGACATGTGCGTAATAAAAAAAAGTACAGCGTTGCCTTTGTCGTTTCAAATGTTTGATCATGCACTGATTGAAAGAATCAGAACAAAGGAGGCCCTCAGATGGGCAGAGGTTAACGGGACTGTGTTTATCTATCTTTCTCGCTGTGATTCTTGCAATCAAATTGTAATCATAACTTTGACACAAACCAACTAGCCCCATCGCTCTACTTTGTTGTTTCAGACGTAGGTGACCCCGACTACAAGTTTCACTTACGCACGAGTCTCTTCGACATGATCGTGGAGTTCTTCCCCGAGTCCATGACAGCAACCAAAGGGAAACTTGGTCGACCTGGTGCTGCTATGAGGCCTTATGTGAATGATCAAATGATTGGCCACCAGGCTGTCGAGTGGCCGTGGTGAGTTCCCATGAATTTCTGACTGGCATACTTCCTTGAAGAGATCTTGAAGAGAAAAAGATTCCACATCTAGAATTATTTACATTTAATTTATTACCCTTTGACAATAAGTTGCCTTTTAAGACTGAAAATGCTGCTAGAATGAAAAATAGCCCTCCTGAATGCAACTAGTGACCAGGACTTGGCATTGTTTCTCTTTCAAACAGGAGAAACCAGATATAGATTTTGAAGTTGTGCTTTTCTGGGCAGGGATGGAACCCCCGACCCCAGTGCCCTTAAATACCTGTCACTGCTGACCAACTCTGCTGATGCAGAAAGACCTTTCACTCTGTACCGTGACAACGTGTCCTACAAGCGGCATTCTCTCATAAAGAAGATGGTACAAAGCACCACCTGACGCTTAGCCACCACAGCTTCCTTCAATTCGAATTCAATGGAAGCACATTTGTAGGCTGAAAGCTGTTAGATATACCTGTTGCTAGTTCGATGTTGCCCCAGGTTTTTGCCTATTTTTTCTATGCGGATTCACCAAATTTCAAATTATGTACTACACTCGAACCTCGTTATAACAAAGTTGCATCTTAGATGAAATTAAGTTTCTTATATGTGAAAATTTGTTATAGGGTTCAATTCTAACACTATATTGCAAAACTACTTTTATTTACTACATTATAACTCATATTTCGTTATATCCAAGTTCGTTATACAGAGGTTTGAGTGTATCTCATAAAGTTAGAGATGTTGCAGAGAAACTGCTCAGCACTGTCATTCACTTGTGCTGCCAAGCTTTTTGCAATGTCATTGGCTTTATTGTAAGCAAGGTCCAGCGTAGTTAAGAAAGTTCATGCACATAAATACTAGTAGAGAATCTCTTTTTTTACTTGCCTCTATTCTTTAATAACATATCGGCTCAGTGACATCGTGCTGAGCCTAGACCTTTATCATGCACCCGGTTGTTACACATGAATGTCAAACCCAACTATCATTTCTCTGCGTTTACATTATTTTTATTGTGGTGGTGTCAGTCATGGACTGAGGCAGAGCTTGTGGCCTCGCTTTTTTCAGGTTAAGAACGCTGAGGTGTGCGGTGTCGATAAAGCAAGCTGTGGTGTGTGCGAATGCTAGTCCAGTGTTTCCGCCCGTTGTGCAAGCTGTGCCGAAGGAGGACTGGCCCGTCGAGGTCCGCTTCTGTGAAAGAACGCACTTGATCCGGTTTCAGTGCCTCCCGTGGACTTCTCTTCTTGCAGGGTGCATGCGTGTGTCAAAGTCTGTGCTTGTTCAGCGTCTCTCTTATTTTACAAGTAGTGGTTCGTTCATCTCATTTCGTGTTTCGCGTTTTAGGATTCCAAAGACATTTTGTTGTGTTTTATAGAAAGGGCGGCTTTTAACTCTGCTTTTTAACCATTACGCATAACCGTAGCCAAAATTTTTACCCATGTGGGAGAAGCTCGAGGGTTGCTTTGCATTGTGCTTTGTCGAGCAAGCCGGTGAACTTTATAAAGAGGGAGTGTTGATCACTGTAAATACGTCTGTGTCTTACACGCCCTCAATCACTGTGGCTGAGACGATTATAAGTAACCTAAGTAAGCGCACAAACATGTAGCGACTATCGACGTTAAGATTGCCACTGAAATTCATTCTCCTTCGTACCTACGTAGCCGACAATTCCAGTCTGCATTTTTAAATCGTCGTGTGTCTACAAACTTAATTTGATGTTTGTTGTAGTTTGCCGGAGGACAGTTGATAGGTTAAGTGAGTAAGAGCTTACGGTGAAAGCAATTTTGAGGCTGGTGTAGAGAAGGTTGCACATACAGATATCTGCACATTAAACTAAAGCCTTTCATCTGTACTTAAATAAGTGTTCTTCAGAGTGGAAAGCTAATCCTTAAAGTACAATGGCTGCATACTCGTTGCAGCCAATGGCTAATATACCGAGTTGGCCTGAGCAATATTTGAACGCTGCAGAATCGAAGGAGCCAGTTATCAACTTGAGATCTCGAGGTGTGGCGTTCCTGTATGTTGCATGTGTACAGCCCCACCATCTCCACATGCTCTGCCTATCATGATGCTGCCCTGTTGCGGCAAGTTGTTTTTTTCTGAGCCAAAATAAAAAGTCACTATATCTTGCCAGCATTGTCATGTCAGTGGACTGTCTGCTGTTGTAGCTCTCACTTTTTAAACACGTCGCTGTGTATAGATTATCAGCAATCATTAAATCTAAGTAGCACAATAGAAACACTCAATGGTTAAATTGCTGAATGCTCTTTATAGAATACTGAAGACATAGACGGCATTAACAATGCTGCTGGGGTCACAGTTTAACCCACATATATTGAACTAACATTTAACGAATTATTGTGTATATTTAACAATTTCAAAATCCAATGAATATATCTTTGGTGTGTAAAATATTTTGTATCTCAAGTTACATATATATCAAACTTCTCTGTAATCCCCTTTAGGTTCAATATGTCTGGATTTGACTGTGTGATTCTTTTCCTAACAACTACAAAACTAAAACATTTTTGCACTGCATAGTAGTCATCATCAAAAAGTCTTAAAAATTTCTCAGTTTCAACATTTGTGCTGACTTTTCATGCCAGTAGCTTTGCTGATTTTGACTGTTCACCATAAATAGTACTCTGTTGCCTCTTTTCAAACTATTCACCAAAAGATGGGACCATTGACATGCCTGCTTACCTCTATGTCATTGTAACCCTGTATCCTGTGTGAGTTAATACATATTTGAATGTTCTAAAATTAATGTGTTCAGCATTGCCATTTTTTGGGTGTGTTGGTAAATTGAACTCAAAAACATATTCAGCGCTAGTCATCAGGTATGTTAGAAAGACGACAACACTACGCGCATTGCGTTATTGTCTTCTTTGCATCCCTGTTCGCTAGCACTGAATATGTCTTCGAGTAATGTGTTCAAGCTGTGCTTCAACTCTACCAACTTGGAAGGCCAAGTTCGTACTGCGCACCTAACGGCGACAACGTACCAACCGACCCCTGAAGGAGCCAGAGGACATCCTTATAGTAATGGTGTTGCTGAAGGGCTTTTATCACCTATCTTCTTTGTTGCTTTAGTGTGCACGTGCACCTCATAAAAAGTTTTAGCTTGTGCTCTCCAGAAGTACTATATCCAATGACATTTGTCAAAAAAAAAAAAGGCAAAAAGGAGAACATAGAATGTTGCTATAAAAAATTTGTAAACAGGGGTTGTGTCGAGCAGACATTTCAACAAGTCGACTTGTCTTCTTGAAGACTAGAAAAAAATTTGTCGACAACAAGCCCGCTTGTCAAATGTTGGCTCGACACAACCCTTGTTAATGGATTCTTCAATGACATTTGTGTAATACCAGGTAACCTGATACTGTTGACATCTTGTGTCGCTTCATCTCGCTGCTGTGCCTTGAAGACATTTTTATGCCCTACTATTGCTTCTTGTATGAAGAGCAGCTTAAGAGGTAGCATATTCATGGCTACGCTGCTGCAAGAAACTTACACCAGCCGGGACAAACAATACGTTTGGGTACCATGAAAATAGCAAGGAGGTTCGCCTGATCCACCCGGTGGTGCCATTAACTCACACCTAGGTTCAGGTGAGCAGGAGTGCCGCTTTGGACATTGTAAAATTCGGCCATTCGTCAGACTTCACCATTGGTAGACTCTGATTGGCCCACAGGGATGGTAGTCACTGATTGGCTTATAATGGCACCATTACGCAATCTGACAGGCGTATTGTGTGTGCAGGTGCCTCGCTCGCTAATCTGCAGTTGGCATTAGGTCGGTGAGGTAACTAAATTAAAGATACCCTGAAACAGTTTTTTTTTTTTTTAAGTTTTGTCAGAGTTTAGGCTAGGAGCATGGTCAAACTATTCGCACCACAAATTTTGTGACACACTGTGTATCAAAGTCGCTATGAATATACCTTCCATCTCACCCCAGCCGTGCCTCCTCAACTTATGAGACGCTGGCATCGCTGGGGATCGCTGAGCTCTCATGAGCTCACTCGACGATTTTAGCTTCGCCCAGTATAGCGCTTAGAGATGTGAGCCGACAGATTTGTGCGTAATCTCAAAGGCCATCACACAGGGCGCCCGGCATCACTCACCAAGTACGGCAACAGAGACGAAGATTGTGGAGTGGTTCATATCTTCTCCGACAGGTGCCACCACCCTACCAGCCGATTTTCCGCGCATTCTATAGCCAATCAGATCAGCAGCGTCAGTGACGTCGCCTTACCAGAGCATGTCGTTCTGTCAATGGGCGCTTGAAAACGCATTTGGCTGAGTCGCAGTGGTTCGCAGCTTTAAAGCGTTGTAACAAATTACACAACTCGCACAGAGAGCCCAGATTGGTCTGCGAATTACCCTTACGGACTTGGTTGCCGGCCCAATGCGCTTTGCACAAAATTGTCAAAACCGTTTCGAGGTTCTCTTTTACGGCTTCTCTGGTGTACTATAACGTACTAAGTCAACTTGATACGGCGGGACGCTTGTACGACGTCGCGCCACCTGTAGGAGCCAGTAGGCACGTCCGCTGACGCCGTTGCCTACCTCCTGCGATGGAGGGCGCGCAACTCTTCTATCTGGCCGCCATCGCGTTCGTCCTGTGCCTGTTTACGACTTCACCTGTAGGCCGGGTCCCCGATGTCATCCGCGCGCCTTGTTCGTAGCCCGCTATCGCGCGGCTCTTTGCAGGCCTCCCGATAAGGGCCTCCCACCCTCGTACTCGTGGAGATTAAACTTTAGGACTCGCTAAGGGGCAGAGCAAGACGACCAAGGTGACCTCGGCCACGGCGGCCCGCTCGCTCGACTTCGCTGCAATACGCTAACCTGTTTCTTGCGAAATCGAACGGTCGCTCGTTTCCCCTTTTCCTGGCCGAAATCGAGATTCGACTGCTGATTTATTTTTTATGTATTATCGGCCGAGGAAAGATTCATTCCGCTCGTCGTTTAGCGGGGGCTTGCTGAATTTTGAGACCAGCGCGCGAAAACCAGTACGTTGCTTAGAGAGCGTCGCCGATTTTGTTTCATCATCATCACGGCCACCGGGTGGCCGCGCATTTTTACAGGGATGCGCAAAATTTAAAAAAAAAAAAAAAAGCTTTAATCGTGGGATCGAATATTGTCGGTCTTCGAGCGTAGCAGCCGAGTTTCTCAAGTACGAACGTTTTCCGAACTGTTTATTGCGAGCATTTCAAAAATGTCGAGTGCACCCACATAACAGAAAATTACAGCAAACGGAGGCCGAATTTCAGACCCATGGACGGAGCATATATTTCGCACTCCTTGAAAGTGCACAGTGCGTGGGATGGATCTGTTGAGTTCTTCTCCATGGACCATCCAGTTGTTTTAAACATGGACATGCACAAACATGTTCCAGTAACCTTTATTATTTTGCATGTTAGTTACTGACGTTCGACCCGCCAACTTGGAAAAACTCTCCTAAAGAAGAAATATAAATTGTGCAGCATGTAAAAACGATTTTCTTTTCTATGTGTGTGCATGTGGCTGGCGTCCAAGGAGGGACGCTATTTTTTTTTTTTTTTTTTCGTGCGCTACACGAAGTTTGTACAATTCAAATAAATTTAGTTACAACAAGCGTAGTGCGCTTGTGTCTCGCCGTTACAGATTCGTATGCTCTGTGCAGCGTCGTACAAAACCCTAACACTATTCTACGGCAAAACTTGTACCGCACTTAGGACACCGACAAAGAAAAAGGAGAGGTCGATATGCTTACCGCATAAGCGATGCCAGGGTGTTGAAAGTGGGTACTTGCATGTCTCTCCCACACCAAGATGAGACCATGGAGTTTCCACTCCCCAACCTCATAACGTTCCAGAGTCAAAATCATCCCGACGCCCACGGCTCTTACCCCCCATAAACCACCCTGGAAAGTACAAAATACAAGCGCGTTATGTCCTCCCGCAGTTCCCATTCTTTGCGGCGCAAATTGTGACGTCAGCTTCGTTTACGTGACGTCAGGATAAAGTAAGCTGTCGATTGGCCGATATACGAGAGGTATCTGTTGTGAATTGTCGCCTGCCTTGTCTCGCATCAGTATCGTGCGTGATAGTTGTGCGATAGTCGTGGCTTCACTTCGTTTCCTGCGTGTGCGACTGCATGCGCTACCGGAGATAGCTGGGTGCAGTCGAATCGCGCAAAATCCTGACTGGCTCAATGCTTAGTTCTCACATTTTCTGTGTTTTCTGAATAAATGAGTGGTGAAGAGGTGATGGCGCACTAACCTTCCTATAGAACCTTCCTTTTTCGCCCTCACTAACCTTACTATAGGAAGGTTAGTGAGGGTGAGAAAGAAACTACTGGCTTGCCTTTGAACTCGGCGTGGTTTACGGCTCCTTAAATGTCCTCGCTTCCTTCGTACGCGTCATTCTTAGAGCGCTACAAGTTTCGCCATGTATGAACACCATCAAGCCATTCATCCGTCCTTTCAACTTCTTTTTTTTTTTCCCCATGCGCAGTATCGAGGAGACTTAATTATATGGTTCGTACTGCTTGAGTATGCTTTACGTAATACGCTTTCCTTCCGAAGCGTATGGCCTAAGTCTGACGGCAATGGTGTGGAAGGGACGATAACCGTTACAAAGACTGTATTGGTGACAGCTCGGGTGACACTATCATGCGTCATGTGGTGGGCATTGACCGATGTTTCCATGATGAGGCGCCGCTGTTTAGTGCGAATGGTTGCAAAGTAAAATGTTTCGCATGAGATCGAGTGTCGCAAAATGTCTATTCAGTTATCGTTCTTTTTTATTATTTTTTTCCTTTGCGTTGCTATACAGTCGTTGGCTTTCTGTTTTTGTTGTCGATGGCCACTAACTCGTTGCTACAACCACACACAACCTATCGCGTGGCAGAGAAGCAACTCTTCGTTGTGAACGGTGTCTCCATATTTCCTGTGGAAGTGGCGTCAATCAGATTAAACTATCCTTGAGATAATGGGACTCGATCTCGGCTCGGCAGAAGAGAGTTTGCGAAATCGTTAGAGACATAACTGCTCTAACTGTGATATTGGAGTAAACAGTCTCCTTACTCCTCATCTCACTCAAAAGAAAATGTGCACCAAGCGAAGGGACGTGTGTCAGCACTGACGTCAGAAGAAAG